TCCTAATGCTGTCAGTGTGCTGATTCCTTTGAGAGAATTATGTGGCTAGGGAAATGAAAGTGCAACACTGTTTTTACTATCCTTGGTCACAGGAAGACTACAGGGATCTAGTGAAGAAATTGTGTATTACTCAAAAACTCTGAACAGTGATACTAACAACTTGTGCATTCAATACTACCCTATAAAATTACAAATCTTAATTATCAAGGAACCTAAATGACCCATCCAGACTCTGACAGAGGAATTATCTTTGTGAAATAAGGAACTTTTAAGAGAATAAAAGCAGTCATGAAAGAATGTTCGACAGATGGGACAAAATTTATAATTACAAACAAAACAGGAAAAAGGCACCTGATTATAAGGAAGTACTAAAGCCTTTAATGACAACTTCAGAGCAGTGTTTCATATTCTCTTATGGAATGTTGCCATCAATCTCCACGCCTTGCTAATTGTCATGTAAAACTGTGTTCAATGGTAGACTATGAAAGCTTCTAGATTTCTTTGCCAGAACGGTTTCAGAATCATTCTGTCTGCTGACGCCCCCTTCAACCATAGGATTATTAATATAATCAATGATTCTAATAATTAAGCACTATAAAATTGTTTCCAAAACTTAATGGATTGACAATTGGATAGGTCTACTGATTTCAATATTTCCACACATGATAATGATGACTACTCTCTCTTGAATTTATTTAACATTCACTATACCAAGTTCTCCTGTTTTCCCTTCTACATTCCTGATGAATATTCTGCTTTTCAGGCTCCTCTTCTGCTGATTCCTTAGTATTTATTCATATTCCCTAGCATTTGTTCCTTAGTTTCCTTCTTCCCCTTTATATTCCCTCTAGATACTCCCATTCATGTACCTATTTTCAACACCTGACTCCTAGTTCCCTATTTCTAGCCCTAGGTTCTAAAACCCCATTCCTATGTACCTATGACACATCTCCACCAGAAAGCCAAAAAAGCATTTCAGATATACTGCTCAAGGGAAAGCCATATTCATTGTCCCCTTCCGACTTGCTGCTTTTCCTTGGAACCAAGATTTCTACAACCAACTGTAAAAATGACACACTTGTGAGTCAGTGTGGGCTCCTCTACTACCTTCCTCCTCCCATAAACTAATAAGAATTGTCTGATCTCTTTCACATGGCAATAGGAGCTTCCATTCATGGTTTCTACTTGCTCTTCCAGCTTCATCTCCTCCTTCACCTCCCTAAGAAATCTTTTATTTAAATGTCATTCTATGCATACAACATGCACTTTTCCTTTACAACTGCTAAATTCTCTTACCTAAATTACAAATTCTACAGTCTCTCAGACCTCAAGCAACTCTCTTCTTGGAATCTGAGAATTTGTTTCACATTGTGTTTATTGATGATAGAGATCAAAGTAACAGTTTGGTATTAGGGGAAAATCCTTGCATTACTGTTCATAAGCTAGTAGAGCAAATAAAACTACATCTAATTATTGTTTGCTAAGTACCAGGATGAAATAACCACAGGGTGCATACAATCTTGTGTGTTACCACTATCAGTTTTGCTTGGACTGGGCCTCGTAGATAAGTAGGAATTCGTCAGGTGGGCCAGTTAGGTCAGAGGAAGTTAGATATCAAGGTACATTCTGGGAACTGCTAGTGCCAGAAATCAGGGGTAAGGTATAAGGCTGGAGGGAATCACATTATGAAGACCTCAAAAAGGCAAGATAACTAGCAGCCATAAGGAGGGCACATTAGAGGCCAGGAGACAATTTGGAGGCTACTGCATTATGCCTTGCAAGAAATGATAGCCTTTAAAAAGCAGTGGCAGTGAGATGGGACAGCAGGGTACAGAAGAAACACTTACACTTGCTGCAGATACAAAGTAACACATTTAATCTTCATAACAAGGCTAAGAGGTGATGTTCCTATTTTTACACAAGAGGACTCAAACTCCTGTTACTTGCTCAAGATGACACAGTTTACAAGTAGGAGCAGAGATTCAAACTTCAAAGATCGTGCTCCAAAGTAGCATAATGTGCCAATATCTCAAATGCATGTCCAAGGATAAATCAACAAATCATGTATTTACAACTAATTCTGGCCTGTTCCTCTTACCAGAATTAATTCCTGGATAAACTTCCTCTTCCCATAGAGAAGCATATCAAATGTAGAGGAAGGAAACAGACTCCAGCAGGTTTAGGGTTACATATGGTAAGATTTTAATATTGTTCCAGGCTGTCTACAATTTTAGTAGTATATCCAAATTCTAAAGTTATTTTATGGACAAATTTATTTACACATTCTCCCAATTAGTAATTCCGCATGGGCCACAAGGTCTAAAAGTAATCTTATTAACCTGTAAAATGTGCATTCTGCCCACTTATAGTGCTGGGCATGTAAAAAATGAACTATTGATCTAAAAATAAAACAAAGTGAAAATGTTTAAAATGACATCACTATTCTTAAGCAATATAGGCTTCACTGGGTGGTAAAAGATTCAGTATTTTAAAACTCCTTTGCCTAACAAACATGCTATATGTTATAGAACATACATGTGTTTGGAAAACTTCAAAAAATGCAGAATAAACCTCTATTAATGGTGTTAAGCTAAGTGAATGCAATGTTCCTTCAAGGTTTCCCTTCAGTGATCAGTGAATGGATTTCTTATTCAAAGTTACTTTGCTTTCAAAAAAAAATTATCTAAGGTTAGAAAAGACCAATTCCATATATATCCTACACACAAAACCAATCTACCAATTTGAAGTACGAATATTAATACGAGCAACATGGAAGACTTGAAGTTCTTTTGTTTACAAAGGAGAGGGCTTAAGTTGCCTAATTCAATTCCAATGCTTTCTTTTTATTTCAGAATTGAAGATTTACTTTAGAATTAAGGGGAACACGGGAAGATCTGAACTACTTTAGGTAAAAAGCCCCCCCACCCTCCAAACCCGGTGTAGGTTTTTTTCATTTTTTTCAGGTGAATTAATAGTGGCCCTAAATAAAATAGTGAGGCCAAATGCGCAATACCCACACCACCCTGAGAACGCTGCAAAAAACAGAGTATCCATCTCCAAGTGGCAGACAGGTTTCAACTCACATGGCAACTCCAATGGATGACGTAGCTACTTTCAATATGAGATTGAGGGTAATTTGGCCAAAAGAGATCATAAAGGTCTGCCAGGGGCACAAGAGCATGTGCTACTCTTGACCTCATCTGCAAGACTCTGTACTCAAAATACTTTTGTTTCTACTATGGGTTATTTCATTATTGTTTCAAATCAGATAATCATCCTGCTATGAAATATAACAAAACATGCAAATCAAGGGAAAAGTTTTGTAGAGTGTTTCTTTTTCTGCTATGTCTGACAAAACAAATATTAAAATTAATATTAATATCAGGGATGGTTTTGGTTAAAATAACTAGGGTTACATTTTTCAGATGCTTTTTATCTGGAAAATTCAGTGTGTGTATATATATATATACACACATGTGTATGTATATATACACATACACACATACACACACATATACTGTTTTAGGAGAAAACAGCATTTCAGCTTGGTGATTTAAGTAGTATCAACTACATATGTTTATTTGTAAAATTTCCCATAGTGAAACATGTTATAGTTACCTATAAACATTCATTTTTCACTATTTACAATTTGAGTAATCATGGAATGTTTGTATAATGCAACCAGTTGAGTTATAGAAAAGTCACATAAACAATATAAATCTGATGCCCAATCCTTTACACATACAAAATTACTTTCAATGGGTTTTCAAACTGTCAAGTATAAATAGGATGAGGTCAGCAGTACTTAAGATGAGGCACTTTGACAATTACCCAAAAAGGTTAAGTGTACAAAAGTGTAAAACAAAACTCATGGTATTAATCGTACCCCTAATTTCAGACGTAATTAATCTGAGATGGTCTATATTAAGGAATGTTACGAACTTTTATTTCTTGCCCTTCCCCCTCCAGTTGACCCAAGGCAAGTAACTATGAAATACATAAGTATATAGACATCATCACAGACCAGTTAGTGTGCTTACATAGAGAAGAACTAAACACCATGTAAAAACACTGGGCATTTTAGAAAATGACTATTTTAACACAAAAACTTATGCATAATTTTTTCCATAAATGTGTATAAATACATTAGTCTCCCACAGGCAAAAATGCTATCTCAACCATATTCCTAGACAAAAATGCCCTCAAAGGTATTAACTAAATCAAAATTAATAGTCTATGTACTCTTTTCAAACACTGAATTTTTAATATTCAGAGAAATTAAAGTTAAATTTTAATTTTAAAAATAGAGAAATTAAAAAATTAAATTTACTAATACTTTCTAGATTAGTTTTAAGATTAAAAATAGTAGTAAGGAACAGATGTTTTGTTTTGTTAGCCTTTTGCGAAACACCTTTCAAACATACTATTTGGCCAATTCATTTTTAACCTTAAATCATGTTCTCTGTGTATTAACACTGCATCTTTTGGTAGCTAAGATAATAAATACTTGATTAAAAATATTAAAGTCCTGTTGCTGTATGAATTCACAGTAGTGTCTTTTCCCCCATGGTCAGTTTCAACAGTAAAGAAAACGGCTGACTCAAATTTTTAAAGGTCATCCGGAAGGGATTAAAATCTGTGGTCCCGTTAACAGTTTTAAGTGTAAACAGTTAAATCTCATTAAACTTGTTTATTTCTGGTAGGTTATAATTTGAGTAATTTCTATAGCCCAGATACCCAAATGTTTAATAAACATGAGTTAGTACTCATTTTAACATACTTAACTGTTCCAAGTCCATTTATCAAAATCACTTCCTCTGTGTATGTACATGAGCATAGCACATGCACTCCTTAATTCCCTAAAACAGTCTTGCTCCCCTAAAGAGAAAAACTGGCTTTCAATCAATATGCTACCAGACACGTAAGTCTCTTCAAAAATGAGAAGTGGGTCAATTTTCAGATAAATGAAAAGAGAAAATACTTATTTAGAATGACAAAAATTAAGCTTGGCAAAAGTAGTGACTTTTATTTACAATTGCATGTATCAAGATTACAACAAAAACACTAGTGATACCATCCGAACAAAAGCAATGATTTATTGGTAATGGCAATGAATGGAATATTGACAGTCTCTGATGAGAATCAAGCAATTATCCAGGAGCTGTAGATCTGATTGCAATATGGTCTTCCAGTGTCTTTTGTACCTTAGTGGCTTTCTCCTTTTTTGCCAACTACCTAGAAAACAAAAATAACTTTACATGTACATCTTACTGATTTAGAAATATGTGTTATTTTTAAAATAATATTACTAATTGGTAATCATCTTTAAAACCTGGTATTAATTTTTATCCCTGTATTTTTTTTTTTTTTTTTTGGCATGCAGTGTATTTTCACTGTTGAAGCAAACTGTGACCTTCCCTTTCCTCCCAGCCTCAAGGAATTAAAAATAAAACACATGCAGGCTATTTTTGGTTTCCCACACTGTTTAAAGGAAAAGTAATGCAATTTTTCAAAACAAGGTTGACAGTTTAGAGAAGTTAATAAAAGGATGATGCTATATGAGTGAAATACATTTGGCAAACTACTTTTAGGCAATTAGAAATCAAATGTCGATCACAAAATACTCTAGAATTAAAAGAGTATGCTAACTTATGTCTAAATAGCCAAGATGACAGGTTTCTAGATTTTTCTCTCAATATGTAGATATGCAATGAAAAGAGATTAAAAATGACTAATTTTGCCTAGTTTCTATTTTTAAAAAACTCCGGTTGCTACAAATGTACTATAAAAAACAAAGAATAAATCTTGTTTCTGTCGCTGATTAGAAAAATTCTCCATCGGAGGGCTTCAAAAATGTCCTAGTTGCTATAAATGTGGCAGCATAAAAATGTACGAATAAACTTGGTTTCTACTAACAGTGCTAGAAAATAAATCCTCTGTGGGACGGTTCTACAATTATGTTTCAAGTAAATAATTTACTTAAAAGCTGAAGTTTATCATTAGTTAATATATTCTCACAGCAGAAATGCCTCTAAAGAAATCTACTTGCAAGCTATTGAAGATATATTTGTATACAAAACGATTTCTATGGGGTGGAAGGCTCAGTCAGTCGAGCATCTGCCTTCGGCTCAGGTCATGATCCCAGGATCCTGGGATCGAGCCCCGCATCGGGCTCCCTGCTCAGTGGGGAGCCTGCTTCTTTGTCCCTCTCCTTCCGCCTGCTGCTGCATGCACACACGCGCTCTTTCTCTCTGTCAAATAAATAAAATCTTAAAAAAAAAAAAAGATTTCTATGTACATTTAATTGTAATGTAATTTTCATATTTTAACTGATTCTGTTCCAAATGGTAGTCTTAAGCGAAACTCATAAAGGTCTTCAGTACATGTCTGGTCTAAAACAGAACGTGGCTGGGTCAATGCCATTCATGAGAGAAGATTTAAAATGCCTTCCACTTAATTCCCAATCATATGATGTCAGACATGCCATTTTCCCGGCCTTGAGGAAAACCAGTTTTATTACTTTAAAAGATCTCCTCTCTGATTTACGAAAACCATATGTTAGAAAGCCCAAAAAGCCAGAAAGATACTAAAGAGATAGTCTCATAAAAGTATGTGGATAAGAGTAAAAAATTCAGGGTTTAGGAGCTGGGGGGTGAGGGGCGGGAAGGCTTCTTAAGAAAGAAGGGAAGTTGGCAATATTTGTATCACAAATAAATTTAAGCAGATAAACACTGACAGCATTATTGATCATTATTATCACTTGGGAACACACAAAACAGAGCTATTAGATTAAGCAAAAGAAAACAAAACAACTAATACTAAAAATTAAAATTTTAGCAGATGTGATACAGAAGACACAAATCTGCATACTGTTTCACAGGTTGATAACTCTCAACTTGCCAATGTGTATTCTCTGTAAAAAAGAAGAAATTCAGCATTCCAATATGGATTTTCTCATCCCAAACATAAAGTATTTTATTCATTTTTTAAGTGTTTCTATTACACCTCAAATAGTCTAGGTACATCAAAATTAGGTGTCAAAAATATTTATTCAGTAGAGTCCATTGATCTTCTACGTTAAGAGTTTAAACCAGCCTAACATTCAGTCCGTCTTTCAACGCCTTGAGCTCACTTGGGTAGACAAAGCAGAGGATGTGCCCATAATTAATCAACAAAAAGACTTTGGGTCTGCAGTTCCGTTGAGAAAAGAAAATCCACGTCTCTTAACTACAGACTAATCAATATATTATACTAGTTCTAGTATAAAAGAAGTTGATGAAACTATTCATATTCGATTTCTAAAATGATTCTATAGTTCCCAAAAAATAAAATTTAAACTTTAGATTGGATTAAAACATCCAACAACTAGTTAAGTCTGAAAGCATTTACTACAACATTTTATTGCAATATGGTTTCTCAAAATGTAGTACAAAAATGAAAGATGAGAAAGTAAAAAAAATAAAAGTCAGGGGAGCAACACAGTATGATAATGAAATTAAAGCACCTAGTTGCAAGCCCAAAATAAAAAGCAAACCAACAAAAGGCCAACTAAGACACATGGCTAGAATAAGATCTGAAGAAAGAGATGGTTGAGGAAATCTAAGTTACAAGGCTGATCCAGATGATAGAAGCTGGAGACATCTTGCACCAACAATGGCGAGAACATGGGAAGGGTGAGAGCAGACAGGTGCTAGATGAGCAGAGAAGCAAGGAGGGGAGTAGAGTGAGATAAGGTCAATCTTTATATTACTTCATTTTTAAAAATCTTCTGTTTTTAGTTCATTTGAGTTGCATTAAAAAAGCTGAAAAATAAACAGACAGAAATGTTACAAAAATAGCTGATACGGTGAATGGCCAGTTTAGAAAAGTCTATTTTTATTACAGTGATAGAAAATCTGCTCTGCTTTTCACATGCACCTCATTCCCTAAGAAGCAGAAGCCCCTTCAATTTTGCTCATTTTTGTACACTTATATGTTATTACTTTTGTATTAAAATAAAGCAATCCATGTATAGAGCATATTTTAGCAAAGAAAATATCTAACTTCTAATTAAGATGGCAAGCTTTTCATGCTGCAACACAAAGAATTCATTTACAGCAACAAATAGCCTAAGTGTATATTATAATCTGTGCACAATGCCTATAATAGCCAAAAACAGACAAGTGGGAGGTGTGTTCTAGTCTACCAAATCTTAAAAGTATAACCTTCAAAGTTGTAATAGCATGCAAGGAGGTCTAAGATTTCTATCCACATCCAAGATTCATTAGCATTACCTTAGCTTCTGTCATCTTAGTGACATAAGAAGATCAATGACACTCTGAAAACTAAAATTATCTAGAAACAACTCACACAATATAAAAATGTGAACTGAAAATGCAAAACAATTCTATTTTATCATTCTTTAAACCATTTTTATAGCTTTCTTCATTACACAGAGGTATCAAAGCGTTCCTCTTTGTGCTGATAAAATACATGCCAAATCTATTTTGAAATTTTAAATTCTAATGACTATGTGTAATTCCTTTGAAATTCAGACTGACTAAAGTCCTGCACCTTCCCATTTTCATGCCCAAGTTCTTATTTTCCATTCTACCTGGAGTGCCCCCTGCTATCTTTTCCTCCCCTGCTATCCATTTCTACTCCCAAAGTTTAGTTCAAGACCCTCCCTCCTCCACAAAACATTCTTGTCCTCTCCCAGCCATTCTTAGGAAGAAGGAGGTATCACTGAGCTAGGAAAGTATGAGAATACTCTGTAGAGGAAGAGACTTGAACTAAGCTTTGATTAATTTTGATCAACTTTCCAAATGTTTATGTTATCCTTTAAGATAAACTTGCTATACAGAGGGATTGTGATTACACCTAGCATAGTACTACAGGGACAACAAGTACCATTCCATGTATTTAGAAACCAAGCTCATTTATAATTTTCAATAAGTGACTATCTATACATAATCTAAACTGGCCAATTTCAGTTAAACAATAAATAATTTTTTATTGCAATTTTCCTACACTAATGTTAACTTAGCAGAATGCAAAAAGCACTGAAATATTAGCTTGCTTTTGAGGAATAATTCAATGAATGACACAAGTCTCATTCAGAAACTATTAAAAGGAAATGCAATGTAATATTAACATACATAAGAAAATCATTCAGCCAATTAAAATTTATCAAACATTAAAAGCAAGGGACTAACACCAAGAAAGGAGTCCATGATAGTATTAAATTATTCTCAAAGCAGTTCTCAGTGTGGTCTAGGCTGGGGGTCCCTGAGACCCTTTCAGGGAGCATTCAAAACTATTTTCATAATAATACTAAATCATTATTTGCCTTCTTAATCTCATTGTCTCACAGGTGTACAATGGAGTTTTCCAGAGGCTACATGACCTGTGATAGCAAACCTGACTGAATGTAGAAGCAGGCATGAGAATGAGAAGGTTCTATTAAGCTAGACAGTAAAACAATTTGTAAAGCATAAAAAAATGATCTTGTTAAATTGGTTCTAATTTGGAAAATATGTATTTTAATTTAAAAATATTATTTGTGTTAACATATAATGAATTTATTATTTATAAATAATTTTAAATTTTTTTGGCTTCAATTTCTTAAAGGGTAAATATTAAATAAATATATGCCACATTAACAAAAGCTCTTTTTGGTCCTCAATAATATTTAATAGTGTAAAAGGGTCCTGAGACCAAAAACTTTGAGAACTATTGCTCTACAATAATGTTAAGATAAAAAAGTATTTAGTTAAATGAATACATAGCAATTACAAAACATACACAAATACTCCCAAGCAAGAAAAGTCTAACATCTTTGCTATCCTAAAGACAGTCCAGAAAAACTAGTTTGGTAAGTCAAAAGAGAGAGAGAGGAGCGAGGCCAGAAGGCATAGGAGAGGGAGGATATTAAAACCAAAGAGGTGGAGACAAATTCTTAGACGAACGATTATTAATACACATTAGAAAAACTGACTGAATGGCAGGCTGGTAAGAAGATGGTCAAGATGGAGCAGTGGTTACTTAAAGAAAAAAATGGAAATCAAACAGCATGAGCAGAGGTGAGAAGCAAGGAACTTGAGCTGAATTAATGGTATAAGGCTTATAGTAGATCTTATGAAGGAATTAAGCTAAAAACAAACTATGCAAGGCAGTTAAAGCCAAATCCAATGGCAATTAATTCAAACAAGCAATATAACAAAGCAGGCGGCCAAAATGTCTTTGGTGCTCACACATATTCCCAGTACAGCATATCTCATATCATAAAAATGTAGATGGTTTAATCTCTGCTACTTGTGACCTTCTGATCTGCCCTTATACATATGGCAAACATTTGACATGACAGATCTAAGTACAGAATTGTCCTACAGTTCCCAAAAGTTAATCATGAGACAGGAAAATATAGTAATTGAAAAATGACCAGTTAAAATATCTATGGTCAAGATTATCAATTTTGTAAAAACCAGCATACAATTTTATAAGCTTATCCACTGTTATGCAATTTTACAAATTTTTCTGTAACTGTATTAAAATGAGATCTGTAGATACCACCAAAAAGAATAAGAGTTTTCAGGATGCTTCATGGCTTCACCTCCCCACCAAACAGGGGTCTGAATTGTTCAGCTCGGTGCCTCTTCCTCCAGGGCACTGGCAGCCCTGGGGAAACTTTCTCCCATATAATCACCTCTTTCTAATCACCTCCAGTTCTAGACTATCAAAGGCAGCCATAGAAACATGGCCACACCTACCTTTCCCATGCTGCTGCACATTTAATCTGTGTACAGCAACTGGGTTCTGTACTGAGAAAGCTCCTCGTAGCACTTCCATGATCTGTGGTTGTAATACTTAAGAGTCTCCCTAAGGAACTGGGACCAAGTAGCAGTTGTTCCATGAATGGACAAAATGTTCTCATTCCTAAGGGTCTCGTATATCTTATAAATCCTCTGCAAACCTTATGACTGTGTCCACAAAACAAAACAAAAACGTACATATACATACATATGTAATTTGCCTGTTCACTGGTAATTTCTTTGCTTGTGCAAGTGGTCTTTCAGCACACAGACATGGTTTAAAGGCATCTCAGTGTAGTAAAACTGAGCCCATTCCTTTTGATTAAAATTATTGAAGTGATTTTAAATGTTTTCATTGGAAACAATAATCAAAATCTTAATATCAGCACAATTCTTAAAAATTCACTAATAACAACGATTTTAACTTACTCCTATTTTGACATTATTCCTAACTACTTTCTATAACCAAACAATTATTTAGTTAATTTAAATTACTTCCCTGTTATTTACTTTACTTCATTATAGGTAAGGACTTTTTTTTAATTGAAGTATGGCTGACATACAATGTTATATTAGTTTTAGGTGTACAACGTAGTGATTCAACAATTCTGTACATTTTATGCTATGCTCACTTATTTGAATACCATTTGGATATCATTATTAATGGATACCATTATCCACTGGATACCATTTATTTATAGATACCATTATTTGGATCCATTGATTAACAGACACTATATCAGGATTTATTTTTATTAGAAATTATCTTTTAGTTGGAGATGTAAAAATGTGATTAGGAGAACCCACTTTCCTAGTTTAACCTAAAATTTCATGACATGGTATGATTTTGATCTTTATGAAATTACTTCTTTAAAATTATATTTTTACTTCCCCTAAATACCATTTAAAACAAACTTACTCGTTTGAAGTCATTCATATTTGTTGCCTGGACTGGAGTACCAATAAAAGTAAAATACGAAATTCTTGTTGTTTCTTCTTCACCTTGATTGGACTGAACAAATATCTATACCCCCCCACCAAAAGGAAAAAAAGAATTTTTACATTAATAATTGTATCCTTTTTTCATAAACATGCTTAAGTTTAACTGATTTTGTTAGATTATTAATAAAAATACCTTCCATTCTTTGTAAGGATTAACCCAAACTACATTTAGACTAGTGGTCCCACAGGACTATTAATTCCACCGTTTGCCCTGCTATCCTCACCCTTTCCAGGATATTCATGGCAAGACACTCGCATACAAAAGTTCTGGATAATTCAGTGTGAGGGTGTTGGAGGGGTCACAACTAAATTCTTTACCGAGAATGTTGAAAGAGTATGAAATTATTACAGTGGGCAAACCACTGCTGAAATTTTATTAAAATTGGTTTTTGACTGAGGAAAGTCTCTGCAGTTATTTCTTTCTGATACTAATTCATTCAATTTCCTAAAATATTAAAAGAAAAAACAATATTGGAAATCAGCTCCTAAAACTATACTATACTATAGCCTGCATTTTTTTAAGCTAGACTCTTTATACTTTCTATGTAAAAACTCCCCTCAGCACGTTACTAGACAGCAGCTTTACTCACAGATTCTTTTCCAATATATTGGATTTTTATATGCATTTTTATTTATTTTTATTTTTTTAAAGATTTTATTTTTTAGAGAGCGAGCAAGAGAGAAACAGCATGAGAGGGGAGAGGGTCAGAGGGAGAAGCAGGCTCCCCGCCGAGCCGGGAGCCCGATGTGGGACTCGATCCCAGGACCCCAGGATCATGACCCAAGCCGAAGGCAGATGCTCAACCATCTGAGCCACCCAGGCTTTTTTAAAAAAAACAAAACACAATACTCTAGATGCTGTCTACTTAAGAATATTGCCTCTCTTGATTTAGATAATATACTTCTTTCATTCTCTGATGGCATTAATCGTTTTTTGTTGTTTTTATAGGCAAGCACAGATTCATCTCAAACTGAGCTTATCACTTAAATCTTCCAAGTCTGGGGATGCCTGGGTGGCTCCATCGGTTAAGCATCTGCCTTCGGCTCAGGTCATAATCCCAGGTCCTAAGTCCCACATTGGGATCCTTGTTCAGCGGAGAGCCTGCTTCTCCCTCGGCCTGCTGCTCCCCCTGCTTGTGCTCTTTCTCTCCCTCTCCCTCTCTCTGACAAATAAATAACATCTTTAAAAAAAAAACCAAAAACTTCCAAGTCTGTAATAGGTAGACTATTAGCCAGTCTCCATTCATTTGTAATGCTCTTTGATAATTAGCACAACAGTTTATATTTATGGCTTTTAAAATTCATCTACTTACTTTGACTAGACTTTCTGATCAAAACTGTCATTATGATTTCAATTTTATCACCAAAAAACTGACAGACATGCTTTCTGTGACTTAAGTCACTGACTAAAAGTTTGATTGCGATAGGACACAGCACATACACAGACTTGAGCCTATCACAAGATAACTGGGTACAGTAAATCTCAATGACAGAGGAGATTATATCAAGATGTTTGGGTTGAAAGGGCTTTTTCCAATAAATACCTTGCTTCCATCACTAAATAAAGCAACTGGCATTAATTGAGGATACGGTACAAATATAAGTCAGGAAAATATCTGATAACTAGTATTCTAGTTTAATATAACCATTTTTGTCCATTTTATTTGGGTAGAATATTTCAAATACTGAAATCTCAATTATAATCCTTCATCTTATTACTAAGTATATCCTGTGAAACTCCAGTAAAAACCTCCTAAAATGAATACATTATAGCATTCTCTAATTTATAAAAACCAGAATCATTTCATTAAAACAAGGAAATCATGGGACGCCTGAGTGGCTCAGTCAGTTGAGCGGCTACCTTTGGCTCAGGTCAGGGATCCAGCCCTGAATGGAGCAACAAGGAAATCATTAGTTTAGCATGACTTGTTTTCAGTGACTCTGTGCTCGTTCCCACTTTTTTCCCTAGGTATTCCACTATTCTATTCTAACCCTTCTACTCCCTCCTCTGAAGGACTGGGTTGGGAGGGGTGGATGGGAGGAGGGGGTGGTTTGGAAAGCATATGCTGGGTTTCATTATTAAAATTTACAAAAGCAATTAATAACTGCTAAGAAGCAGGCAACTTCTTAATGTAAATTAAGATAATATAAAAGTATCTTTTAAAAAGTCATTTTTACTGAGATCATGACCACAACACTATTAAAAACCATACATTCTAGAAAAGTAAATTCAATTTTACAATTGTAACATCACTCATCACCAGGTATGAAGGATAATGTACAAATATCTTCAGTTTAACTATAAATATTCTAGAATAAACTTTTAACATAAGCTGCCAAATATGTATAAAGTAAACTGACAAATTCAAAAACTTTTAAAAAATCAACCTGTCCTTTCTCTTTAGTGCACATAAATTAAAAAGAAGAAAATTTAATTAGTTCATTATACATTTTTACTCATTCTAAATGAGGTGGACAAAACCTACTTTAAAGGATCATTTAGAATCACCCTAGGGTACTGAAGGTAACAACATGAACTGTCACCCACAAACTCATTAAATATAGTTGAAATACTACTTACAGTTACACTGTTAACATTCTGAAACTTAACATAACGAAGTGGGACAATGCCATCTTCTTTAATATCATCCTCTGTTAGTTCCAGAGCTTGAGTTGGTTCACTTCTTTCTGCTTCTTCAAAATCCATAGATCGGGGTAGATTGATAAAAATTTTTACATATTTAGGACCCTGACCTATAAAATGGTAGAATGAAATTAAATGTTAAACCAAACTTGCAATACTTTCCTCCCTTCACCATTACATTCACGCTATACAACCAGTCACACATCCAAATACTTACTCATCTCTACAGCAACTGCTTTTTACAAATACTTCATATTTTCAGAAGATACAATTTTATTAATGAACAATATTAATACATAATATTGCATATACCTACCTAAATCTTTAGGAACTTTAAGAAATTCTGAGGATTGTCTACGGCCATCCCACCCTGAGCACGCCCGATCTCGTCTGATATCGGAAGAAATTTTGAGTATTTTCATGCATATACCTACCTAAATCTTTAGCAACTTTAAGAAATTCTGAGTATTTTCACAGCCATTCTTTTTTTTTATACACATTTTTTTAATGCCTGCTAGCAGTATACTAAGTCCTAGGAATACTAGATTGAAACACATATGTACATATGCAAACACATATACATACACAGACTTCTTGCCCTCAACTATAGAAGTCACACTATGAAAATGTACTACTACTAGTGAGGAGGTACAGGGAAGAGGGCAATACAGTCTGACAATGTATGCAGGTTAACATTTGAGCTGGGTCTTGCAGCTGCCAACAACTGATACATTTGTTATTTAGGAGAAAAGCATTACCAGTGACAACATTTAGCTAACAGAAAACTAATCATACAAATTGCCGGGGCGCCTGGGTGGCTCAGTCGGTTAAGCCTTCGGCTCATGGGGAGCCTGCTTCTCCCTCCCCCTCTGCCTCCCCCTCCTTGTGCTCTCTCTCTGGCTCACTCACTGTCAAATAAATACATACATACATACATACATACATACATAAATTTTTAAAAGATTATACAGTTGCCAAATTTCATCTTAGGGATTAAAATGTGCTAAGTGGTTAGATCACATTTAGAGAATGTCTTAGTCCCTTTAACTTCAGGGTACAATCCAAAACCCATATTTAGTGACTAATTAAGGAATCTTAAGATATTCATATTGCTTACTCATCTCTATAACAACTGCTTTTACAAATACTTGGTATTTTCAGAAGATACAATTTTATTAATGAACAATATTAATACATAAAAATTTAAAACAAAGAAGGAAGGCTATCTGATAAATAGGGTGCTTGCTGTTTCTCCCAATTATAAAGAAAATAAGAAAAATCCTAGTCCCCACTACCTGCCAACACACAACCAAAAAAAAAAAAAAAAATCAACAGGGACAGGAAAAAAGGAGGGAGATGAATAAGGAAAATTCTTTATTTAATAGAAAGAGAAATACCAAGCCTGTACAATCCTGTTTACAGCATCATAATATATATAAAGAAGATGAAACTACTAATAGTGCACAAATAGGAAGATCTAGAACCTTATTTTTCATCTATTAATAGGAAGAGTATGAAATAAATCTCTTCCAGTTCTGATCCTGAAAAATGGCTACTTCAAACCTGAAGTTTTAGAATAGTTGGAAGAAAGAGTTTGTTTTTAGATTAAGAGATTAAACTTTTAGAAATAAGATAAAATTTTCCTTTTAGGTCCTAATAATATCACATTATTTGCATTCATTTATCTCCTTGCTTTGTTCCAGAAACAATTTCACTCTTTCCAAAACAAGAAATACCTACCTCTGTTATTTAATAAAAAGTTTTACATATGTGCCAACAGATCCACAGAGCAGACAGTTAAAGAAAAGCTGTCCATTACTCACCATTATCTGGCCCTTGAAATTTCATTGAATAAAGCTTAACAGGTTGATTAAATGCCACAGTAATAAGCAGCTGTGAAGAAAATAAAGTTTCATTTTAAAAGGGCTCTTGAACACCTTGATACACACGACAGCTATGTAGACTTAAAATTATTAATTCAAAGGCAGAAAATATTTAATTCAATTCAATTCATAAAACCAATGTAATATAAAAAATCAGTAAGTTGAAAGTAACTTGATTAGACTGACATTTGAGAAATACAATAATCTGTTATTCACATAAGGGAATGACAACAAAATTTAATAGAATAAATTAAATTAAATTAAATTAAAAATAGGCATAAGGGGGGGCACCTGGCTGGCTTAGTCAGTACAGCATGTGACACTTTTTTATATAGAGGCTGTGAGTTTGAACCCATCATTGGGCACAGAGCCTACTAAAAAATGGTGGGGGGAGGGGATGCATATATGAACCTAATGTCTTGTGACCTGTAAAGTGACAAGCAATTTGTCTTCCAAAAAATCAAACACAATCCAAATTAAAATTCAAACTGTATATTTTAGCATATAAGCTTAACATTTTATAGAATGGTCTGTCAAGCATCTACCCACATCATTTGACAATTTGGAAACAATGCACAGATTATGTGAAGAAACTAGCCCTCAACTGCACTCTATTCGGTCCAAAACTCAAAAGAATAAGACTTTTAATAGCTCTGTAGTAACCTCCAAATCTCCATCCTAAACTTATTGGACTTAACTGAATTTAGAAGGGCCACATAAGGGAACTGGAATACAAAATACTGTCAGATGCTTCTCTCTCAGAAACCGTAAGTCATTTGCTCAATATTCTTTCCAGTTGAAATTGTGTCTGATGTACTTATCTATGCTTCTACCCTAGAAGGAAGACTTCCCTGGCAGGAAGATTTCAGGGAGGCTGTGGTCAGTTGTGCTGATACTCAACATCACATTATATTCAGGGCACCATTTACAAGGAACACAACTATGAACAATATTCTTAAAGCTGTTCAGTAAAGTAGCTATGGTTGGAGCAAAGATGAAATTTGGATTTATGATTTCAGGATCACTGTGGTCTGTTTGCCTAAGAAAATACCCAGACTATTTCCTTTGGTTATATAATTACTTTTTATACTTGACCTGTAATAATGTGTCAAAAACGAACCATGAGAGACGATGGACTCTGAAAAACAAACAGGGTTCTAGAGGGGAGGGGGGTGGGAGGATGGGTTAGCCTGGTGGTGGGTATTGAGGAGGGCACATTCTGCATGGAGCACTGGGTGTTATGCACAAACAATGAATCATGGAACACTTCATCTAAAACTAATGTTGTAATGTATGGGGATTAACATAAGAATAAAAAAATGAAAGAAAAAAAAAAAAAAAAAAAAAAAAATAATGTGTCAAAAAATAATAAGCATGACATGTTTATAGAAACTTGAACCACAGGTGAAGAGAATGGAAAGTTAGAAACAGATCAAGTCAGCAAGAATATGATACCCTCTTCCTGAAGTCTGTGAAGAAGAATCATTTAACTCCTTTAAGAAAAAGAAGCATGATCAGACTTATATTTTCTTTTTTTTTAAAGATTTTATTTATTTGAGAGAGAGCAAGCGCACACAAGTGGGGGGGAAGGGTAGAGGGAAAGGAGAAGCAGACTCCCCAATGAGCAGGGGGCCTGCTGTGGGGATGGATCCCAGGACCCTGGGATCATGACCTGGGCTGAAGGCAGATGCTTAACTGAGTGAGACACCCAGAGGCCCCCAGACCTATGTTTTATTTTTTATTTTTTAAAATATTTTATTTATTTATTTGAGAGAGACAGAGATAGAGAGAGCTCGAGCAGGAAGGAGGGGGAGAAGCAGGCTTCCCACGGAGCAGGGAGCCCGATGCGGGGCTCGATCCCAGGACCCCGGGATCATGACCTGAGCCGAAGGCAGAGGCTTAACCATCTGAGCCACCCAGGCACCCCCAGACCTATGTTTTAGAAGAATAACTTTTGGGGCGCCTGGGTGGCTCAGTTGTTAAGCAGCTGCCTTCAGCTCAGGTCATGATCCCAGGATCCTGGGATCGAGCCCCGCGTCGGGCTCCCTGCTCCGCGGGAGGCCTGCTTCTCCCTCTCCCACTCCCCCTGGTTGTGTTCCCTCTCTCGCTGTGTCTCCCTCTGTCAAATAAATAAATAAAATCTTTCAAAAAAAAAAAAAGAAGAAGAACTTTTGTGAACATGTGGAAGATGAACAGAGACAGTGGATTAGAAAGTATATTAAGGAAAGTCAGAGTCAAGATGAAGATAATGATGGCTTGATCAAGGCAGTACTACATTACCTCATCTGTGACAACAACACAGAGCAGTACAGGGAAGTACAATACAGGTTTACATCTGGGAGTGAGGAACACACACATAAGGGTGCTCATCTAGTTAGTCTCTACTTCTCAGGTAAAAACTCAGTTGAGTAAAAAATATGGAAGACAGATCAAGAATGAATATAAGGACTTAAGAGTGGTGAAGGCTCAACTCAGTAGTGGAGCCAATCCAAAATTCTGAGATTCTGTGTAATGCACCTGGCAGTTTGCACTGAACAGAGAAAGGAGGTAGGTCTGCACCACCAAAGAAATTGAAACTTACAAAAAGGAAAGGAAGTGGTCACCTGGGAAGGAGAAACATAAAATGAGATGGAAACATGATAAAGAACCCAGAGTGCGCATAAATATTGATGATCCCTAGAAGCTTTAACATAAGTATCAATTACCTGTTCATCACAATCAGATTCCAAGAAGGTCATATCTTTTCTCAAACAGTTGTCAAATCCATGCTCATCACTTTCATTAAGACATTCACAACCAGCTTTGTTAATAAAAGGCATTAAATCCATCTGAAAAAAAATTAAATCAAGACTTTAGGCAAAGCATTTGGATTTGGTGTAACAATTTAACAAATGTAAATATGTGATTCTCTCTAGATTAGGCAATTTTAAAGAAAACTTCTCTTTTTAAACAGTTACTAAAACTTCTACAATAATCCTTTCATTTGAATTTCTGACTGAGATCTACCACGATTAAAGCCAAGTCTAGGCTTAGCCCACTGGATAAAGTATCAAAAACCAAGTCTTTAACACAAAGATTATAAAGGTTGACTTGTACTTTTTTATTACCAGTGTTTTGCAGGGCAAAATATGCAAATTAAATATCCATAAGATCCAAAGAAAGCCAACCTCCCTCTTCTAGCGGTCATGTACTCTTCAAATCTATATCCATAAAGAGTTTACATTTAAGATGAATAACAAATAAGGATTAAAACATTTGTTATTATGGAAAATTTCAAGCATATATAAATAATACAATGAACCTCACGTCCTCACTTCCCAGTTACAATAATCAACTCATGGCCACTCTCATTTCATCTTTACCCTGCAAGCAGTTCCTACCCCTCCCGTTTTCAAATAAATCTTAGGCATTTCTTCATTTCATTCATGAACATTTCAGTGTGTTCATGAACATTTCTAAGACATAAGGAATCTTTAAAAAAAAAATCCTCTGGTATGCCTGGGTGGCTCAGTTGGTTAAACATCTGTTTTCAGCTCAGGTCGTGATCCCAGGGTCCTGGGACGGAGCCCCACATCAGGCTCCTTGCTCAGCGGGGAGCCTGCTTTTCCCTCTGTCTCTGCCTGCCACTCCCCCTGCTTGTGCTCTCTCTCTCTCTCTCCCCCTAACAAATAAATAAAATCTTTAAAAAAACCAAATCCTCAATATTATTATCACAACTAAAGCAATGAGTAATACTTTATTATTAGCAAATATCCATGTTCAAATTTCTTCAGCTGTCTCATAAATGTTTTAGTGTGGAACTGTTAGAATAAGAATCCAAACAACGTACACTATAATTGGTTAATGTCTCTCAAATCTCCTTTAATCTATTATGGTCATTTAGCATCCAGAGACTTCTAATATTCTAGATTTTGCTGATTGCTTCCCTGTGGTTGTCATTTAACATTTGCCTGTCTCCCATGTATGTGTTAATAGTCCAACACAATGCCAGAGTTGTGACAGTGGTCATCCCTATGTTGTTTCTGACTTTAGTGATAAGAGTACCACTGGTGTTCCCCCATTAAGATTTTATTGATTGCTTTAGGAATAAATGGGTATTGAATTCTGTTAAATGCCTTTTCTGCATATTAGGAGATCATAATCTTTCTCCTCTAGATCGCTGGATTTTGTTTACTAATATTTTATGAGCTTTACAACAATTATTCCTAATTGTAACTGGTCGGTAGCTTTTTTTTTTTTTTGGTGCAAACTTTGCCAGATTCTGGGTTCAATGTCATATTTACTTCAAAAAAAAATTCAAAAGTTTTCCATCTTTGTATACGGTGTTAAGCATTTGGAGTAACACCAAACTACCTGATCTTTAAAGATTTGGTAGAATTTCCCTACAAAGTCATCTTAACCCTTATGGTAGAGGTCTCTATTTTCTCTATGGTGACTGGTCTATTCTGGAGTTCTGCTTATAATGGAGTTGATTCTGATAAACTCTTTCTCTAGAAAAGTATCCATTTCATCTACTAAACAAGGACTATTTTTAAGTTTACCAAGTACTATAGATTATCAGTTGTATATTCACCTATCACAAAGAGTATTATATATATTTATACAGAGGCTAATACATGTGTATATCATTCTGAAAGAGAGTATATCATTCTAAAGAAAACTTTAATGTCATATAATTACATGTCAAATCATTATCATCAATATGATGATAATCCATTAGAAGAATAGTCCCTTAATTATTCATGGAGTGGCCTAAATGCTTTCAAAGCCAAAATGTTATTTTGAATTATATTAAATGTTACATTGCACTAAATATTACTCAGGGTAACACACTGTAGCCAATTTAAAAACAGCAGGGGGGGTGTTGGGGGGTAGAGAGGTGTAGGGGCACTATAAAGCTAAGTTCTACTATTATAGAATTACTCTAAACTTGAAGAACATTTGCCTTGAAAGGGTAGTTTTGACAAAATCTTTTAAACACTTATGTCTTCCATCCTACCAAGATGCCTCTTCAATATTATATCAAGGATTAAGACCCAGGCACGAAGACAACATTGCAGTCATACTTGTAATATCTTAATGATGAAAAATAAACTAAATAGGTGACTTAAAGTTTTTAATATTTTTTTATTGTGGGGCACACAAAACAAGTATCACAAACAGTTTCATTAAAGTGCTTTGTTATACAACACTGTCTGGGGACAAATTGGCATTATAGTTGACCTAACTACAAACTGACATATTCTAGAAACATGCAATTGGAAATAAATATCACTACCTATGTAATCAACTTGCCAATAATGACAAAAGAATAATGAGAAAACAATCAGACAAATCCAGATTGTGGGACAGTCTATAAGACAGATGGTCTCAACCTGCGCTGTACGATAAGATAGCCATTAGCCACATATGGCAATTTAAAATTAATTAAAAGTAGATGAAATTTAAAATTCAGTTCCTCAGTTGCACTAGTCATGTAACAAATGCCTAATAGCCACATGCACCTAGTGGCTACTATATTAGACTGGTGCCAGTTTAAGCTTCCAAAAAAAGGCAGTAATGAATTAAAAAAACAACAATAACAACAACAAAAAAACAGAAGTTTCCAGAACACCAAAGAGAAACAACTTAAATGTAATGCATGATCCTTGACTTGATCCTAGATGGGGGAAAAATAGCTATAAAGAGTATTCTGGAGGGGTGCTTGGGTGGCTCAGTCGGTTAAGCTCAGGTCATGCGCCCGGGGTCCTGGGATAGAGCCCCACATCAGGCTCCCTGCTCAGCCAGGAGTCTGCTTCTCCCTCTCCCTCTGCCCCTCCCTCGGCTTGTGCTCTCTCTCTCCCAAATAAATAATAAAATCTTAAAAAAAAAAAATATTCTGGAGATAATTAAGAAAATGTGAATGTAGTCTTTAAGTATTAGAGATATTCTACCATCGTTAAATTTCTTAGGCGTGATAATGATATCGTGGTTATGTAAATCAATGTCCTTACTCCTAGAAGCTACAGGCTAATAAAATATTTAGAGATGAACCATCATAATGTCTACAGTTTACTTTTAAATGATTCTGTAGGAGGTAAAAGTGGATAAATATATATCAAGAAAGCAAAAATAGCAAAATATTCACAGCTGATGAACACAGGTGAATGGTATATGTGTTTGCTATACTACTACTCTGTCAACTGTGTTTTGTTTAATAAATTTCACCTTTCTTTTTTAGAGGTGGAAAATCTAAAACAAGACACACAGCAAGTTAGGAAAACCTTTCCATGCTTCTAGTTTGGGTTAACAAAAGATCTTACTACACAAATTAGGGTCACTTAAGGTTTCATTTCATTTTGATGAATGATGACAAAATTTGTAGACCAAAATCTACAGTTCAGAGGGCAGAATACTAAAATATATATATAGGCCTCAAGATTTAGAACATATGCAATTCCAACTTCAATTCCAGAGTGCCCAGAACTCAAACTTCTGGGGGAGAAGAAGACTTGATATTGATGGCCCTCTCATTGCCACTGAAAGCCATACTAGGTACTCTTAGCAAATATAGGAAAGAAAAAAAGAATGTTTTAAACTTTCCCAATGTTTCAATCAACACTTTAAAAACTAAAAGTCATTATATTCACAAAAACACTGTCTTACTTCTGAATAAGAATTATTATGATTCTTAACGTTTTGAGTATCACATCTACATTTATTGCAATATTTCAAACCCCTCTAAAAGAGGTATGTGTATCTCTCTTACTCTGGCTTCAATCAAATTAGGAGTTCCAAAACTAGGATGTATAAAATCAGTAACTGTATAGCCTCTTAGTGTTAAAACAGAACAAAGTCTTTAAAACCAAAATTTTGTTTTAAAATTGTCAATACATTTCTGCAATGCTAATACTTAAATCTATTTAAGATACAGGCTTTCATTCATTCACTTATTCCCGTTAAGTTTCTATTTGTGTTGTCAGAATGATGACATTCTTAGAAACACATTACCAATTCTTAAATATTTAAGAACCTTGCAGACATATAGTTCAAAACTTTTAATGTCTTGATTGACACCTGATGGAAAAAATGAAAATGTTTTTAATAACCTTTCACACTGTATTCATAACATTTGCATGAAAACTAAATTATTCTTATTTCCTAAAACTTCATTTTTTCCTGCTTATTTCCTACCTGAGGACAAAACACTGATAATCACACTTAGCTGATGTGTAAAGAAGTATCCCTCTAGCTAAGCAGCAGGACTGTTGTGCTCATAAGAACTTTTCATGCAAAAACACTTAGTAAATAAAGGAAAAAAAAATACAAAGATGTAAACACAACAGTTTACAAGTCAAATAATTTCCAAAATTTTCCAAAAGGTGTCACAACCCTGACTTATACAACATGTTCATACTTTCTAACTGGATATTACAATTTCAAATTATTACATAACAGTCCTGTTTTAAATAGATATTAATTGTGCCTCCCTAAATTAATTAACACTAGTACCACATGTTAAAGACACTTTTGAAGATACAACACTCAATCCCCCCCCACACACAAAAAGAATCTCTCATATTTATCTGACTAGAAAGTCTCCTTATTCAGCATGAATTTAAGGGACTTTACAAAAAGAACGTGTAGCCCATGACATCAATCTGCTTTACTATAGTTGATATATATTCTTTCATATACTAGCTTTAACTTAAGGTAACAATTATTTTTTAAAAAGTTCATTTCTGATCTGCAATTACCATTAACTTTATAACAAAAAAAATTAGGAAAGATATATACAAATATATGTTTTGGTATGCAGGATTAACCAATTTGCATAAATGAGTCAGTTATCATGAAGTGCTACTTCTGAATCTTGGTCCTTCCTGAACAGCTCTTAAATGATAAAGATACTGAATTATAATTATTTGTATTATGTAATTCTCAAATACTTTTAAGTTCCTAAGTCTTCAAGTTATTATTTGAATAATAACTTACTCTTAAAACTCAGAAAAACATATCCAATAGCAAAGTCACATATGACCCTAAAACAAAATAAGTAAATTTTTTTTTTAGCAGAAAAAAAGAGGTGCCAGAAAAGAGGGAATACATTAAAAAGGAGAGAGAAAACTATAGGAAATGGCAGGAAAGGGAGTCCAGCATATAAAGATCACACATTAAAATTTACATGTCATTTTACACAATTGTCAAAACCTGAAAAATTTTTCCAATATACCTTTATTCACATTTTGGGGGGAAAAGTATATATGTATAATTTTAAGATTACATATAAATAAAACATTCATTATCTGTAATAAAATGAAAATTAAATGTATATATAAAAATATATATACATTAAAAATGATTAAATGTTTAAAACTGGCTATTAAGACAATTCAGAAATCAGGTTTAAAAAAAACAAGTGGCAAAAAGAATTATTTAGGAAAAATTGTTTTTGATGAGGGCTTAAGATTATAATACATACAAACAGAAGCAAAAACCCAATAATCAGCTAATGAAATTACTTTTAAAGATCTTATTTGAAAGTATTCTTAACTAGCAAAAGATAACAGTCAATTTCATTTTAACGAAATAATGAGAAAAGATATATCGTGATTTCACTCCTAAGTCTACCTACATAGCCTTTTGGAATATCCGTGTCCTCATTGCTTCCAGGGTCATTTTCTAAGTGCTGCTTGATTTTTTCTTCTAATCCAACAGCATCTGCTCCTTGATACTGATCAATTCTCACTTTGTTTCGAAAAAACAGAAATGTAGGTGTTGCTGATATATTGTTGGTGGCAGCTGTTCCCTAGAATTGGCAAGTTAGATGCCGTTAATGAATTAAAATTTACCTTAAACCACTCTGAATATTCATTCTACCTCTCTGTAGAAGTTAAATATCACAAGCATGAACAAAAACCACATAAAATAACTCATTCCCAATTGTTATTTAAGAAAAAGCAGGCCTATTACCGAGGGCACAACTACATTATCTCTAAATTCCCAATGAAGAACATGCATTTTTATCAATTTTAGTGTTAAACACTTCACCCACCAGTAGAACAATTAGCTTCCAGTACAGAAATTATGCTTTATACCACCAGCTAGCACTTTCATAAGTACATGCTGTTTCTTAAACGGGGAAGCCCAAAAAAGGTGTTAATACGTCAACACAAACCACTGCTACTAGGAAAAAGTACAGATCTGAAAAACAGTAGCCCATCTCTCCATGAAAATGAAGTAACAACCTCACTCAACTTTACTCATAGAAATGACTTCTGGCCTCCCATCAAACACACTGCAACATTTACCTTTTAAAATTCTGCTCCACTCCACAATATTATAAAACTAAGTACTGAGTGGAAATTAGCTACTTAACCACTGACTCATGACTTAAACTTTTCATAAGTATAAAGGAAAGAGTTAAAGCAAACGTGTCATCTTGCATATTCAAATACTATAAAAAGGTACCACTACATTGTTTAAAGAAAAATAACCATCAAGTTTACACACAGATGTCTTCTCTAAACCTCAAAAATTAAAAAACAAAAAAAAAAACATGACTGACGTTTTAGAACAGTAGTGTCCAAAAGAAATATAAGACATAAATGTGGTGTATATATATAATCTTAAGTTGCCAGTATCCACAATAAAAAAGTACAGAGGGCGCCTGGGTGGCTCAGATGGTTAAGCGCCTGCCTTCGGCTCAGGTCATGATCCCAGGGTCCTGGGATCGAGTCCCGCATCGGGCTCCCTGCTCCTTGGGAGCCTGCTTCTCCCTCTGCCTCTCTCTCTCTCTGTCTCTCATGAATGAATAAATAAAATCTTAAAAAATAAATAAATAAATAAATAAAAAAGTACAGAGAAACAACTGAAGTCAATTTTAATGCTATATTTTAGTAATCCAATATTTGCACTTTCAACAGTCAGTGTAGAACATCAATGACATATTTTACATTTTTTTTTCATGCTAAGCCTTCAAAATCCTATGTGTATTCGACACTTACAGCACTCCTCAATTTGGATTTGCCACATTTCAAGTGTGCAATAACCACATGCTGCTAGTGGCTACCATCCTGGACAACAAAGCTCCAGAACAAAGCTCCTGAGCAGAGACAGGAACACTAAAATAAGGGCCAGTGATGCGAGCCCAGTAGTATGTGACAGAAGTACTAAGCAATATTATAGGGTTTAAACCAAACCCCAGTGCTCGCTTTGGCAGCACCTATACTAAACCGAACCCCAAACTACTCACTACAAACTATTATAACATTTAAAAATTCTTTTCACACTCAGAATGTATCGAAGACAAAACTTCACCAAAAAGAGGAGGTACACAGCTATTCCTTAATCAGAACTAAAGACTACATTTTTAGTGCTGGAAGGAACCTTCACAAATTTTTCCCATTAACTCCTCCTCCATATTTCCACATATGCAAACACAGAATTGTCACAGAGTCATTCCTACTAAGTAATCAGGGCAATCTCCCCACAACACTGTGGCTCAATCGACAGTAATTAACACTTTCAGGTTTCTGCTGAGTGTGCAGCTTTGAAGCTAATATTACAAATTGATCAATTCAAATCAAACTATAACCAAGAATTCTCTGCCATGGCTTTCAAATCAAACAATGCCTCAGCAGTAAAAGATAATATTCTCGATTTGCAGAAGATAAACAAAAAAAATGTAAAAAAAGGACTTCCAGGTGACTGATTTAGTTGAACAGCTTATCAGTTTTACATCAGAAAGATATGAATATCAACAAATTCAGAAGCAATTAATATTGAACTACCCTTTTTAACTAATGTAGCCACAATGACATTTGTAGTAATTCAGGTCCATATAACATTTTCCCATCTTCAAAGAAGTACTATGTGCATAAAGAGAGAAACAAACGAAGGATGATAACAGTGTTGAATTTCAAACCAATGTAAATTTTTTTTTAAAGGACTCCTTTCCCTTACCTGACACTGATGTACATCAACTTCCAAGAAAACTGCCTGTGGATACTTATTACTCATAGAACTGAATGCTGGGGCAATCCTTAAACACGGTCCACACCTGTGAGAAAGGTAAAATACATGCTTGGTAAAAAAAAAAAAAAGAAAGAAAGAAAAAAAAAAACCCCACCAAAAACTGTATTAATTTATACTCTAAAGAATTTGTTAATTAAAATATGAAATTAAACAAAATCTGATCATCCTAGCTGCAGTCTTTCTAGTCTTTTCCACTAGATTTAGATATACTTGCATCAATACCACATTGTCTTAATGACTACAGATTTATATTAAGTTTTAAAGTCTAATAATGTTAAGTCTTCTGGCTTTGTTCTCACTGAGAAAAATTAAAGATGGAAATAAAAGGAGGAATATACTATGCTTATAAACTGGAAAACTCAACAGTGTCAAGATGTCAATTCTCCTAAATTTGATCTTTAGAGTAAATGTAAAATCCCAGTAGGTTTTCTTGCAGAAGTTAACAAGTTTAAATTCTAAAGTTTATAGGGAAATACCAAAGATAACCCAAGCCATTTTGAGGTTCAAAGCTGAGAAAATTAATTACTGAATATTAAGAACAATCACAAAGCTTTATAAATTAAGAGTGTACAGTATTGGTACAAGGACAAACAAACTGACCAAGATAAAAGAACAGGTCCAGAAACAAACCTATCCTCCACAGAGTAACCTGATTTATCAAGCATTTGACACAGCAGTGCAGTGGGGAAAGGGTGGTCTTTTCAATAAGCAGTGCAGTGTCAACAGGATACTCACATGGGAAGATACGCGTCTTGGCCCCTATACCTCACACCATACACACAACCAATTCCACATGGATTACATATCTCAATCTAAAGGTGAAACAGTAACAGTTTTAAGAAAAAATACAAAGGATACTTTCAAAACTTTGGAGTAAGCAAAGATTTCTTAAAACACAAAAAACACCAAAGAAAAGAGGAAATAATTGATATACTGGAATATACTTGATAAACTGGAAAATATTAAGACCTTTTGTTCATCCAGATACCATTTAGAGAGTGAAAAGACCCCACAGAGTGGTAAAAAATATATATATATCTGTAAAACATATCGAAAGGCTTACACTGCTAATATGTGAAGAATTCCTACAAATCAGTAAGAACAAGACTGACACCCAAAAGGAAAATGGGTAAACTCTTAAATCAGTACATGACAAATGAGGTTATCCTAACAGTCAATAAATATGAAAAAATACCTCACACTTCATTAGTCACTAGGGAAAAGCCAGGGAAATGCAAATTAAAACTACTCCCACCAGGGGCACCTGGGTGGCTCAGTCGTTAGGCGTCTGCCTTCGGCTCGGGTCGTGATCCCGGGGTCCTGGGACTGAGCCCCACACTGGGCTCCCTGCTCAGTGGGAAGCCTGCTTCTCCCTCTCCCACTCCCCTTGCTTGTGTTCCCTCTCTCGCTGTGTCTCTCTCTGTCAAATAAATAAACAAAATCTTTAAAAAAAAAAAAAAAAAAAAAAACTACTCCCACCAAAATAGCTAAAATAAAAAAGAACAAAGTATTACCAAGAATGAGAAGCAACTGAATTGTTAGTGACTGTGCAAACTTTAGGAATACAACCACTGTAGGGGTAAAGAAAAGAAACTGGCATATCTGCTACACAAAGACCTATGCCTACCTCATGAGCATGTCTGAAGTATATAAACAACAGAAATGTCTACATAGGTTTGCCTTAGGGCACTTGAAAAAATATTGGTAGTAGTAATATTTCTAAGAACCAAAAGTAGAGACTACTCAAATTCTATCAACACAGAATGAGTAAATTAATTGCAGTTACTCCTACTGTGGAATACTATACAACAATGAAAATGACTGATGTCAAACGTCATGCAAAAACATTGATTAACCTCACAAATAATACTGAGAAAAGTAGTACGTTATATGATTCCATCTATGCACAGCTCAAATACAGGCAAAACAAATCAATGGTACTATAGACAAAGGTTACCTTTCTGAGAGTTAAAGACAGGATAGGGTCATGAGAGATATCAAAAAGCTAGTTATGTTCTATTTGTCCAGAAGCTCATTACATGGGCATGTGTGTTCAGTTTATGAAAATTAATTAAGCTATACATTTGTAATTGTGTATTATGTTGTATCTCAATAAAAATTTAGAGAAAACCTTGGCAATAGCAGAGAGGAGCACAAGGAAAAGCAAGTTCTGAAGTACGAGATGTTCAAACTCACAAATGTTCATCCTCAAGCTGCGATTGTCTCTCCGGTCTTAAAATTTTAATCAGTATATTCATCCCATGCCATCCTTAAGCCTCACACCAAAAAAGCTAAGAAAATAAGCAATTAAGTTCTTTAATATTAAACTTGGTGCTTCTGAAAGTAGATTTTTGGATCTAACAATCCTCAAAAGTCCTGAGACCAATTTGAAACAAACATTTAGAGTCACTAAACCTATGTTTAGTTTAGCAAAATACTTTGAGTTATCAGTAAGTCTTAAACATTATGGATGGGAGTACCAACTGTTATATCCTTTCTGAAGGGCCATTAATCATGATCTGTCAATTTTAAATGAACACAACCCAAGATTCAACAATCTCATTTGCATACATCTACCCTACCTAACACTCATTTTCGCAATACATATAACAAAGTTCAATTCAATGTTTCTAACGGTAAAAAACTAGAAACAATCTAAATGGCAGCAACAGAAAAATAGTTTAAAATGTTATGACACATTCATACCAGGGGATAAGGATAATTTGTAAATTTGTACTGTTTAAAAGAAAACTAAGTCTCATAATAAAATTCTCTATTACTACATTATAAAGGTGTGGGTATATACACATGTTAGGTATGTCACACAATAATCAGTTAATTACTTCTGTAAAGTAGGACTGGAAAAGGAAGAGAGTTTAGGAAAGACTTTTAAATTATTCATACTTCTGTATCCTTTGTTTTTTTTTTTTAGGATGAACAGGTGCCTTTATTTTAAAATATTAAATAACTTGAGACTAGAGAATTTAACATTAACTGCATTTAAACGGGTGTCCCAAATGAAGCACAGCTATTTATGCTACACCACAACACATTCACTCCTGAAAAAAATCTCCCTTCTGCAGAAGTATGTATTCAAAATAAGACTTACAGGAAAAATCAGACTGAGGCAAACGATTTAAACCTATACAACTTTGTAAAAACATCCTTAAGACAAAACAGTAACGTACTCAGGAAATACTTGGACAGTTGGGCAGGTGGCTCGGACTAGAGGTTACCTCAGCAAATATTTAAAATGAATAAAAACAATGGAAGTGCCTTTTCAGGTACTATGACAACTGAGCCACGGGGCTGTGGGAGGAAGTTCAGTACCAACCATGAAGCCCTCTATGGAGCAAGTGCTCCTGTTAAACTGGAGTAACTCTCTCAAAACAAACGCGGAAGGGAGCTTGCCTGTATCGCTGAGGGGTTTCTTCTTCCTGCTAAAGGATCTATTTCTATTTCTGTTCCTCACTATCTAGGAAAAACAGAATATGAACCAACACAACTTCCACATCATACTGAGATCATCACTCTATTCACCAGGCATGTATGAGCTAATCAGTGTTAAAAAAAAAAAATTTCTTGTAGCTAAAATAACTGTACTAAACTGTTCCCTTTCAAATTTTAACCTTATCTAGATCCTCTGTTTAATTTTAGTTAGCCATCACAGGTTGTAACTTTAGTCAAAAATCAAAGTAAGTCCTAGAACAAAGAAGCAGAAATAAATACAGCAGCATACTTTCACACTATAATCATTCAAATGAATTGATTAGTTATTTTAAGATGTTTGCCTGCTTAACATTAGCATTTAAGAATAAATTTAAATTTCCATTATTAGCTGCGCTCATGAGCAAGTCACCTGATTTCTCCATACAAAATGAGAAGGAACTAGATTCTCTAGCACCTTTCTCATATCTAAAATATTATGCCCCAGGGACATCTGGGTGACACAGTCGGTTAAGAGTCCAACTCCGGGACACCTGGATGGCTCAGTCGTTAAGCGTCTGCCTTCGGCTCAGGTCATGATCCCAGGGTCCTGGGATCAAGCCCCGCGTTGGGCTCCCCGCTCAGTGGGAAGCCTGCTTCTCCCTCTCTCTCTCCCCCTGCTTGGGTTCCCTCTCTCGCTGTCTCTCTCTGTCAAATAAATAAATAAAATCTTAAAAAAAAAAAAAAAAAAGAGTCCAACTCTTGATTTCAGCTCAGGTCCTGATCTCATGGTCATGCGATCAAGCCATGTGTTGGGCTCCACGCTCAGCGCAGGGTCTGCCTGAGTCTCTCTCCCTCTGCCCCTCTCCCCGCTCCTCAAATAAATAAATAAATAAATAAATCTTTAAAATATGCCCCAAATATGCCTGAATTTCAGGATCACACTTTTTTCTCTTGTGCAACCCTTGATTCACAGCCCTTAAATAATATACAGTCACAGAGCCTCTGAACTTGTAAAAGTGACCACAGTTCATCTAGTCCTGAGGTTTAAAAAAGAAAAAAAAGTTATTTTTCTATCTCTGAACCTCTCTTTGACAGAAAGGTTACCTGTTAAATCTAATATGTAAAATGGATACGTAAGAAGGATTCTGACTCATGCTTTTTGAGAAAAACACAGCAGACAACTCTCCAGCTTTCTGCAATACATAAAGAATCAAACCCACAAAACTAAAACTTTAAAACTGACCTAACCTAACACAATTATTGGATAAGTAAGAACTGAAGACTGGAAAACTTAAATGACTTGCCCAAGATCAGGCACTCTAGTCAATGGCAGGGCCATAACAGAACAGTTAACTCCTAATCCAATCCAATCCAAGCGTTCTTTGAAAGCACCAAGTTAGGTTCATATGTAAGATTTTTGTTTACAGTCATAATATAAATACATTTTACTTAACGAACTTGCCGCTCTTCACTATTTGCTAAAGTATTTAGTGCTCTGCCTTGAGCAATAAGATGTGTAAACACATTGATGATAAATGGTAAGGAAAATGTATGTGCTTTCTGAAGAGATATTTTAAAAGTCTGTTTTTCCATAGGGCACAACTTTAAAGTAGGTAATGTCTAGATTAATTATATTTTAATTAGGGCAGGCATAATCATAATTGGTCCTATTAATAACACAAAATGGCTAGCATTCATTGAGCATTTACCGTATGTTATACAATTTACAAAACCCTTAAATTCATTTAAGCCCTACAATTCCTCATTTCAAAGTCAAGAACAATGAAGTACAGTGCTAGAATTTGATCACAAAACCCAACTCTTAACAGCTATTCCCAAAACCCCAAAACAGTGGCCTACACACTGCTTTTTGTTATTTCTAAATTAATTGCCAAGATTAAAACTATTTATATGCTCTCTAAAAAAATCCAGACAGATACCATTTTGTGAAGTTCAAATTCAGGCAAAACTAATCTGTAGTGTTAGAATTCAAGAATGAGAAGAAAGTGTGGCAGGGGATGGGGGGGGAAATCTTGATCTACATGTTGGTTAAAACAATGTATACACAAATGATTTGTCTACATTTCTACAGGCATGTCATACTTCAATTAAAAAGTATACTTTTAAGAAAAATTCTCTATGTTCTCTGAGGCCTCACCATGTGCTAGTTATCTTAAAGCTACTACCTACCTCTCTCATTATCTGCCTGGTCCCTATGGACTACTGAACCTGCTATCTCTGTAATTCAGTCTGCAGCAATGGTGCATCATATAATTAATAACATATGTACACATATATACGTATATATACTTATACATATATACATATGTGTGTTTATGTGTGTGTATATATATATATGATGTGTTATCTGAACAAGCTACCATAACCATTAGAACTCAACATCCTAATATACACTAACATTCTTCCCGGATGGTAACACCTAACCAACTACAAATAGGACCTACTTTAACAAAACTGAATATATGGTAAATACATCTATAAAAATGATACATTCACAAATTAAAGATAAAAATCATACTCCATATAATTTCACTTATATGTGGAATCTAAACAAACGCACAAATCAAAAACCAGAAACAGACTCATAAATACAGAAAACAAACTGGTGGTGGTGGGGTGGGGATTGGTGAAGGGATCAAGAGGTACAAACTTCCAGTTATAAAAAAAGTCATGGGGATGAAAAGTACAGCATATGGAATATGGTCAATAATACTGTAATAACTGTGTATGGTAAAAGATGGTAACTACACTTATGCTGAGCATTTCGTAAACTATATAACTTAAATCACTATGTTGTACCCTGTAACAAAATATTGTATGCCAAGTATACTTCAATTAAAAAACAATCATTCATACTAAGTTTTATGGGGAAGAAAATGTATATTCTTTCAGCACTGGGGCTTACCCACCAGTGATAACAACAAAACTGGCATTGCTTATTAATCAATCACTAAATGAATCTGAGTTTACTTAAAATGAGTAACAGTTTGGAAATAACAGTTACAAAAACATGTTACCACAGTATATAATTCACATATATAATTTCATTCTCTAAACAACAGTTAGGTTACATGTTACTATTTCCATTTTACAGGTAGAGAAAAGAATATCAGAGAGTGAACTGAACTGTCCTAAGTTATAAGATTAGTTTGCAAGCAGCTCTAACTAACTTTTTAGTTAGATACTTATTTAAAAATGTCAGGCTCTATGCAATATAGAGATGAACCTGCATTTCCTTTCTACTTAGGCTGAGAAGAACAAGAACAGCACTTTATAATCCAAACTGCATTCAGCAATGGGACCTTAAGTTATTTAACCTGTGATTCAACATCGTCATTTGTAAAATGGGGATAATTTCAAAGATTATTTTGAGGATTGAATAAGTCAATATAAATGTTTAAACAAGTCTCTTACAAAAGTAAGTAATATGTAAATGTTGACTGTTTTAATTGTTAAAAAAAATTAAATACCAGAGAAGGGTGCCAAGACCATTCACTGGGGAAAAGACAGTTTTTTCAACAAATGGTGCTGGGAAAACTGGATATCAACATACAAAAGAATGAAGGTGGACCTTTACACCATATACAAAAATTAACTCAAAATGGGTAAAAGACCTAAATTTGAAAGTTAAAATTACAAAATTATTTGATGAAAACATAGGGGTTAACTCTTCATGACACTGGATTTGACAACAATTTCTGGGAAATGACACTAAAAGCACAAACAACAAAAGATAAATTGGACTTCACCAAAATTTAAAGACTTGAGCATCAAAGAACACTATCGAGGAAGTGAAAGGCAACCACTGGGAGAAAATATAAATCATGTATCAGATAAGGAATACCCAAAATATATAAAGAACTCCTACAATTCAGTAACAAAAAACAAGTCATTCAAAATGAGCAAAGGACTTGAACAGACATTTCTCCAAGGAAGATAAATGACCAATAAGCACAAGAAAATATGCCCAACTTCATTAGTCATTAAGGAAATGCAAACCAAAACCACCAGACCACTTCAGACCCATTTAGGATGGCTATTAAAATATAAAAAATGTTGGCAGGTATGTGGAAAATTAGAACTCTCCTGCACTGCTGGTGGGAATGCAAAATGGCGCAACCACATTCCACTCCCAGGTATATACCCGAAAGAACTGAAAGCAGGGACTCAAAGAACTCCTTGCACACCAATGCTGATAGCAGTATTACTCAAAATAGCTAAAAGGTGGAAACAACTCAAATGTCCATCAACAGATGAATAAGCAATATATGGTGTATACATACAATGAAATATTATTTAGCTTGAAAAAGGAAATTCTGACACATGCTGCAACATGGATGAACCTTGAAAACATTATGCTAAGTGAAATAAGCCAGAAACCAAAGGACAAATATTACATAATTCCACTTAAATGAGGTACCAAGATTAGGCAAATTAATCCATAAAGACAAAAAGAAGTTACCAGGGGTGGGAGGTTGGGGGGTACTGGGAGTTCTTGTTTAATGGGTAATTACTGGTTAATGCTTTTACCTGAGATAATGAAAAAATTCTAGGAAATAGTGGTGACGTTGGTACAACATTGTGAATGTACTTAATGCCACTGAATTATACATTTAAAAATGGCTAAAATGATAAATTTCATGTTACATATATTTTACTACAATTAAAAAACTGAGTGCTCGCTTTGGCAGCACATATTACTAAAATTGGAACAATACAGAGATGAGCATGGCCCCAGTGCAAGGATGACATGCAAATTCATGAAGCGTTCCATATTTAAAAAGAAAAAAAAAACCTGAAAATACTGGAGAGCCACTGAAGATCCTTAAACAGTGACAATCTGCATAACATTTTATTAAAATTAATAGACAGGTTAGGTATAACATTGAAGTGGAAAAAAAGGAGTAAGACTCAAAGTAGGGTTGGAAAGGAAACAGCTGCTGGAGAAAATCATGTTCTTGGCCTAAAATGGGACATTAACTTTGATCTAAGAGGTTTCCTACATGGTCTTCTGGATATAGTTGTTTGAGGGTCTAATACTGATACCCAGTTACCCCAGAGGGGTCACACTGACATAGTTTGTGTAGGAATACTAATGGCCAAAATGTTAAAGAACTTCAAGGTAAATATAATCTTATCAGATTTATAAATGTTAGCTATAAATATGCTTTTGAACTTAAAAGTTCTCTAAATTCATTTTCTTTGTGCTGTTTTTCCAAAAAAAATTAAATTTTCATTGCATCAAAATACCTTTTTAAAAGTAAACAACACAGTGCTTTACCAATCAATGTCTGCAGTTGTTTATGGTTAAATGTTGCCTCATTGTTAATGGAAGTGTTTCCTTAATAGCAAAGTTTCCCTACTTTTCTCACTTCAATTAATAAATTATTTATCACTGTCATCTGTGCTGCTATGATAAGGGAAAAGAGTATTTTATTGGGGGACGAAAGTCTATACACTCCTACAAATTAGAATTAGAAAAGTGAATTAAAAATGAGATTCATTGTTAAAATCATCTCTTTTCCAACTTTGGCCTAGGTACTTAACAAATGTACAGGTATCCCTCCATATTAAAAATATCGACATCACAAAACTGCCAAATGTGGGAGGGCACATTTATAGAATTTTGACATTCCTTTTAGACATATCCTTATAATGAAATTTTTATCTTCTTCAATTTAGTAAATATGAAAGTCCACACGTCAAATGGGTACTCTATGCCACCCTAGAAAATGCAGTATACTGTCCCTTTTCAATTCTGTATAAAAGAGGTTGGTGCAGGATTAAGTCCTTAATTGTTTTTATCTTATCTGCATCCCCCAAGCACTAAAACTATCTAATCCTAATGCCACCACTTATACACTCAACATTTATTGAATCACATTCAGGAGCCCTTAATCACTTTTTACCCTGATTAAAAATACTGCCTTATGTTTATATAGTTACCTGGACAATTAAATGTGATACATAAATAGTGATACCTGTAGTAGATTTCTCCAGGTTAGTTTAAATGTAAATAACTCCGGGGGTCAAGATAAATCAAATGGAGACCTTTAATCCTTCTAAGTTAGAAGATACTGACATACACAAGGGAAGGTCAATAAATACACACAGTCGCTGAAATCTTGGTTCCGAAGGCCTAGTTCCAACCTGTCACTCTTACAGAGGTACACTGCACACTCAAAATAGAAAATCCACCAGCTCTGGGCGCCTGGGTGGCTCAGTTGGTTAAGCGACTGCCTTCGGCTCAGGTCATGATCCTGGAGTTCCGGGATCGAGTCCCGCATCGGGCTCCCTGCTCGGCAGGGGGTCTGCTTCTCCCTCTGACCCTCTTCCCTCTCATGCTCTCCGTCTCTCATTCTCTCTCTCACAAATAAATAAAAAAAAAAAAAAAGAAAATCCACCAGCTCTGCGACCAATAAATTATGTTGAGATTTACCAAAGTCAGTTAAGCATCGTTCAAGATCTCTGTCCTCTTAAACCATCAAGTCAAAAATGGAGTCTATTTGGCCAAACCCAGATGCTTGGATATCTATATTGTATATATACTCGCTCTTCATTCCTGTGATCAGATGCAGTCGCACACATAACGGAGCCTAAGTTACAAAGTTACTAACCAAACGAATAACAAAACCATTAAGAAAATTAAAAAGCACTCGGACCCAACATTAATTTAAAATGCATTAAATGAGCCTCGGGACTAAGCACTACGTGGATTAGTTGAATAGTCCCAACTGAATTTCCTAAAGGTCTTACAGAAATGCGGGTGGTGAAGAAAGCCCAAGTGTTCGGTAAATTAAGATTTCAGGGTTTCTAACATGCAAGTGACAGCTGGCTCCCCGAAACGAATGGGACGGGTGAAAGCAGGGGCGGCTGTAGGAAGACTCCGACAGACCAGAAGGAAGAGAAGTGGGCCACCCCCACGTCCAGAGCTCGTCCGAGGATGCAGACGGGGCGGGAGGCGATCTCCTAGGCTAGGGAACGCGGATGGCCAGGCCTTCGTGCCCCCCAGAGACGCCCTTGTGCACCACCGGGGGCTCACACCCAAGAGCGGAGGCCTAACTGGGCAGCGGCCTGGGGCTGCGGCCAGCGCCGGACGTTCCGCAGCAAGAGATCGCAAGGGAGTCGCGACCCGGAAAAAGTGAAGGGAGAGCAGGGACTGACAGACAGCGCCCGCAGGGCTCGCGCCTGGCCTCACCCTCGCATGGTGAACTTGACCACGGCGAGTCTGGAGCCCGCGCCGCTCAGCTCCGGCTGGAAATCTGGGTCGCTCCCGACCGGCTTCACTCCCACCATTCTCAGCCCGGCAGGGCGGCCGCGACGCCACCGGCTTCAAAACTGAAGAAGACTCGGGAGAGGAAGGGGAGAGGCTCGGAAAGGCCAAGGCCTGAACACAGGAGGTACCGACCGCAGCGTCTTCTCCGGGACTCTCAGTGCCGAGTCACGCCAGGGAGCCGAGCGGCCGAGGGGGTGGGGACGGGAGGGGGGAGGGGAAGGGAGAGGCGAGGGAAGGAAAGGCGTGCGGCACCCAGCAGCCACCGCGCGACAGGGCCGCCGGCGCTTGCGCACGTTAGCGTCATTTCCGCGTCGTCCGTTTTGGCTCCCACCACCCAATCCTAAGACGCGACCCCTGGCTCCACCCTCGACCGAGGAGGCCCCACTCCGGCTGGAGCGGCGCAGGCGCGGAAGAGTAGCAGTCACAAGCTCAGACGTGAGTGCGTTTCGGGAGTTCGTGTGTTCCTCCGCTGTTCCAAGATTCGCGGCTTCTACCGAGTTTTCTGGGGTGGGAAAGTAAAAAGGAGATCCGTTTTTCCCCGAGGCTTGTGGCTAAGGTTTTTACCCCAGTGCTGGAAGGATTACTTTGTCTCACATTCGGGGCAGATCGCCACGCTAGACAAAAAGAGACTTTAGGTACATTGATTTACGGATCTCTTGATAAAAGGGTGCTTTCTCTCTGCATTCATCCACAAAATATCATGCACCTGTTTTTAAGTTGTGCCTGAAAAAAAATGAAAGCACCATCCTTCCTTTAGAAACACAGTCTAGTGATAGACGTCAGCAATAGAATAACAAGTATGCAAAGGAAACGGTGGGGACAAATGAGACAGGAGGATGGGGCAGGGTAGACTTGCTAGAAATTGTGGCCCCTGAGCTGGATCTTGACAGAAGAGAGCCAAATGGTGAGAGGTGACAGGAGTATTACAGGCAGAAGAACCAGCAGTACCGATTCGTGGTTGGGGAGGGCTGATGATAATAATAATAATAATAGTTAATACATTATGCGATAGACAAGATACATGCTCTTTGTGTATATTAGCTCGTTTAATCCTCACAACAACCCTGTGAAGTAGGTTCTGTTATTTCACGGTTAGACGAATTTTCCCTAGTTCACACACCTAGTAAGAAATCAAATCAGCATTCAAGTTGAGGTAGTCTAACACCAGTGTGTTCTTTTAAAAAGTCAGGCTACTTGACAAATGATTTGCTTTTGGATTTAGCTGGGGTGATGAAACTGAAGAGGAAGATAGAGGTCTGATCAGGACTAGCTTAAGAAATTTGTATTTTAACATGAATGCAATGGAGTAATCACTGTAGGGCAATTTTTTTTTTTTTTTTAATTACAAGAAAGTGTCTTTAGAGAAAGCCCTGAGGTAGCAGTGAGGAGGCTGGAAGGCAGTAAGACAAGTTTAGGTTACTGTAGTAATCCAGAAAGTGAGTTATGGGAGCAGCTGAAGTGGAAATGAAGAGGACATGATTATTTGAGAAACAATTAGCAGCTAAAAATCACAGGATTTAGTGACCAATTGGACCAATTTAGAGCAATGACAGATGAAGGAGTCTAGGATAGTGAAATATTTCAATCTCGTGGCTTTTTGTACTGAGTTAAAATGCCAGTAGGACATCTAGGTAAGGAGTATAGCGATAGTAGGAAGGTTGAGTCTAGAACAAAAGAAAAAGGAGTAGGCTAAAGTTGCAGATTTGAGAGTCATTAGTTTTAAGGGTGAAAATTGAAGCCCAGGAACACAAACAATTTGAAGGCCAGATGGCAATTGTTGTCCCCATTCTACTGATGATGAGGCTCACTTCCAAGAAGTGTGTAACTCATTCAGTTATGCAATTGTACAGCTGCTTAGCCCTCAACATTGTACCCAACATTATATTGAAACAGACTTTATATATATGCACAGAAATTTTTAGCAGGTGTTATTGCAAGGTGATTCTCTACTGAGTGTTTTTTCCTCTATAGTTTACAAATCTCTTCAATAATTATAAATAGTATATATAATAAGAAGAAAGAAAGAAGGTGCGGCTGGGGGAAAAATGCTATACAAAAATTCTACAAAGGCCCAAGTTTCTTCCTTACCCTATTAGTAGTAACTAAAACAATAATATTCACAGTTAATTGGTCTCCTATGAAATTTAGGTAATGTTTAATATCATTAAGTAAAATAAGCTTTTGGTAGATGAAATTTTCCCCCCAAATGTTATTTTTTTAATTTGTTTATACCACCCTGAAAACCCCATTTACTAGAATTTTCATGAAAATTTTAGAAAAACTTATCATTAAACTTCTGCAAGGATGACTTGTGATTATTTTTAAAAGGATGATACACTTCCTACATTCCTGAGATGAACATATTCAGAAATGCAGAATACACTGCACATTAACTCCCTTCACACCGTCCCTCACTTGGTGGGCATCACTCTTAGAGGACACGGTTTCCCAGGGTCTATTTAGCCTCAGCCTCGGAATTCTATTCAGCTCCACCCACTACCAGAATCAGCAGTCAGGATGAAACCTATTTGCCATCTCACGTCTTACTATAACTGTTACGTCCTGAAATCCGTAGATCTCGAACTGCAGTGAGCTCGTTAAAATGTGGGTTTCCGGTGTCACACCCAGAAATTCTGATTCAGTAGTCCTAATGCATGGCCCAAGAATCTGATTTTTAACAGGCATCCAGAGTACCTGATGCAAGGAGTCCATATTTTGAGAACCATTATTTGCTCCTACTTGTCTACTGTCACATAGCATTTAGAATGCATTTAATATGTACAAGGTACTGTGATAATGCTTTGAAACACCTTTCTTCCAGGGACATCAAAAGGGAGATAAGACACTTCTACAAAAGCTAATAATACAAGGTAAAATGTGGTAAGTGCCATAGTAGAACTATAGATAACATACTATAGTGGTTGAGAAAAAGAAGAGAACATTTCCAGGTGGAATGAGCAGAGAATGCTTTATGAAGTAATATGTTTTTGTTTTTTTTTTTAAAGATTTTATTTATTTATTTGACAGAGAGAGAGAGTGAGAGCAGGAACACAAGCAGGAGGAGTGGGAGAGGGAGAGGAAGAAGAAGGCTTCCCGCCAAGCAAGGAGCCCGATGCGGGGCTCGATCCCAGGACCCTGGGATCAGGACCTGAGCCGAAGGCAGACGCTTAACAACTGAGCCACCCAGGCGCCCCATGAAGTAATATGTTCTAATATTCAGGCCTGGATAAAAATAAGAAATGCATAAACTTCTTCATTCACAGAAATGACTCCTGACTTTCCTCTTAACTCATCAAGAATATAGTTCACTTTAGACTCACCCATTTTTATCAAGCTCAGCCGGTCACTAGGGGAAGCTTTTCTACCATGACTTGTAGCTGCCATGGGTTCACTTTGCTGACTTTACATATAGGTATGTCAGAGATACATCATCCATGCCTTTATTTCTCCCATAGCCCTTTGCCCATGGTAGGCACAAAATAAGTATTGGTTGGATAAATGAATGGCTAGGAAGCATAATAAGTACTACTGTCAGTCCACAAAAAGCAGGGATACAAGAAATATTACTTTGATGTATAACTCAATTTCACTTTGACTCTGAATCCTCACCCTCCTCCTGTAGTCAACTAGAACAAAAACAACCTTATCTCCTCCTCTGCCTGCTTCAGAAATTGTACCAAATTTCTGGATTTAGAGTGGAAGTGGGGCTTTGGAGTGTAGATGTCTAGGAGCACTGTCTCTTTCTACATACCATCTTTCTGCTTCATGTGACTACCTCAGGGATTGGGACCCTTTGTTTGAAGCTGCCTGTAGACCCATCTGCCTAGATGCACCAGTCTGCCATTTCTTCCAGGGTGTTCACTTCGTCCCTTCTCCCCTCCATAAAGATTTTCCCTCGTTTTCATCAAGAGTTTTATAGTTTCAGCTTTTAAGTTTATTTGATCCACCATCCACCTTTTTGAGCCAATTTGATTCTAATCATTTAAAAGTATTCTCATGATAGGAAAGAAAGGCACAATTTTACAGTTTCATATATATTTGTGTGTTTGTTGGGGAGGCAGTATGCAATAACCATAAAATCTCTGATACGAGTTTTTTTTTAAATGTAGTCCTCCTGTAAAAAGTGGAGGAAATGCCACTTTCTGATTTTTTGAAGAGCAATTGCAAGAATATAATGTAGAGAGAACTTTTATTCTACAAAAAAAGTCTTCATAAATTCCTCTGAGATATAATATACCTCTTTAAATAACTGAATTTGTATTTGCAGAAGCCCAAGTATATAGATTTATTGATGAATTCCATAAACCATATGAAATCCCCCCCACTAACTTATCAAAATTACAACTACCCCAAAATGCCTGAGGTGCCTGGGTGGCTTGGTCGATTAAGCGTCTGACTCTTGGTTTCGGCTCAGGTCATGGTCTCAGGGTTGTGAGATCAAGCCCCGTACAGGGCTCTGGGCTCAGGGAGGAATCTGCTTCTCTCCTTCTGTCGCCTCCTCTGTCCCTTCCCCGCTCATGCTCTCTCTCTCTCTCAAATAAATAAATCTTAAGAAAATAACTTCTGCTTAATAGCTTATTATTACCTTATTCCTGAAGAAGTAGAAAACATGTATCTGTTTAATTCTTTAATCAACCTGGTAATTTATTTAAAAAACAATTTTAGATAAGCTTTGATTTATTCTTAAAGTCTTGAGGGAAAAATATGTAATTTATGTAATATAAGTATTAAGTAGAAAGGACATCGGCTTCATAATTTCCAAACCTTTTCTAGTTGTAGGCTTTTAAATTTGAAAATTGAATACCATTTCTCATGGCTGTCCCTAGGTGGCGCAGTGTCTTTCAGTCAAAGGGGTATGATTTCCCCTTGGATATCAAATGCTTTTTTTTAAATTTTATTTTATTATGTTATGTTAATCACCATACATTACATCATTAGTTTTTGATGTAGTGTTCCATGATTCATTGTTTGTGTATAACACCCAGTGCTCCATGCAATATGCAATACGTGCCCTCTTTAATACCCATCAGCAGGCTAACCCATTCCCCCATCCCCCTCCCTTCTAGAACCCTCAGTTTGTTTCTCAGAGCCCATAGTCTTTCATGGTTCGTCTTCCCCTCCGATTTCCCCCCCTTCATTTTTCCCTTCCTACTACCTTTTTTTTTTTTTTTAACATAT